TTAACCAGGCAGAGAGGTCAGGCCAGGACAACTTTACATGGTAATTAAGTCCCTCCACACTTATCTTTGGAGACTGTCCTTGGGCTCTAGCTGCGCAAGGCCTTCTCTGCTGTGTGGGGGGTCTGCTGGTAGCTTTGATTCTGCCCCTCAGGGCAACCTGAGCTGCACATTTTTTGCTGCAGCCTTGGGCTGCCAAGACTGTAGAAAGGCAGATCCTGGCTTCTGCAGTTGCCCCCAACGCCTGCTTTACACAGTGACAGGGCTAGGAAGAATCCAGGACCTCCGCTTTTCCTTTAGTGTGTTCTGTCTCATTCCTCCTCTTATGTTTCAAGGGAAAAATGAAGTACTCCAGCAGAACGCCCACTCACATGGCCAGCCTATCACCCAGCGCCCATCCCACAAAGGGTGTTCCCCACGATCAATGGATCCATCGTCCCCTCCTGACACCTCTCATCTCACAACCTCACCCACCTTAGTTCTCACCTCCCCCGTCTAAGCAGAAAGTCACCACAGCAGCCACAGGTAGGAGTAAGTGGGCCAGGAGTCAAACCGGCATCCCCTGCCTGGCAAGGTGGATTATTAATCGCTGGACCACCAGGGAAATCCCGAAAGTCATTTCTTGAAGAGCTAGACACCACATTGACTCTGACTTGCCTCTGTTTATGTGACAGATAAGATAACTTCTTTGTGGCTTAAGCTCTCTTTATTTTGGATTTCCCGAAACTCACAGCTCAACTGTATTCTAACTGATACAATCTCGCGCCCCTTAAGACCTCAGGAAATGTCAATGACATCTCAAAATTAATTGTATCATTGTTTCACTAATGAGTGACATTCAAAATAATAGCTTTGAAGCCTAAAAAAAAATCTATTCATCGTAGATCTACTCCACGAATTCTCTAATTGCAGAAAATATAACAGAATACCAAAAAATGTAATACACAGTACAGTATTCCTGTTTTTTAGTATCAACAGTAAAAATAACCTTCAATAAAAGTCTTACTGTCAAGGCAGACTTTTTCTCTAGAAATACTTGTTGCAATGTCTTAATTCATATACAATTGACCACTAGATACCAGACACCAGGTTAAATTTCTTCTCTTCAGTTTTCTTTCCAAATTCTTGGAGGGGTGACAAGAATAATTTTGTGTTGAAGAGGTCAGTTTATGTTAATGGGTAAGAAAAAAGTCATAACTTTGCATTAATATGACTTCATATCATTTAACCCTCAGAATATTCTTAATTTGCAGATTCAGAACTGAGGCTCCAATCAGTGGCATGACTTGCCCAAGATAATAAACTATTAACTGGTACCTTTGGATCCAGGCTTTCTAATTTATTCTATATCATAATTGTCTACTGACTTGTTTGTCTCTCCACTAGACCATAGCTCCTTATACATTGTTGTATCCCCAGCGCTAACACAGGGCCAGCCATGCTAAACATCCTCAATAAATACATGCTAAATGAATTAACAAGTATAAAATCTCACTTTGCCATCGCTGCCTTGTTCTGCAAGGGTTCTACAAGCCAATGTTTTTTAATATATTCCAGGTCACTCCCAGGCCATATGGCCTGTCAAGAGAATGTGGTCAAGGATGAGACAGAGGGGAGCAGGACTGGTGAACACACCCGTATGACACACTCGTGTTCCCCTCCACGTTCTCCTGGGCCTGGGTGGGCCCACCACGTAGGGCATTTGGACGAGTGCCTCAGCCTGGGAGACGACTGCACTGTGTGTACTTTTCCAGGGAAAGGAAAAGGCAACCGTGGTCTAACACGTTAGAAACGCTGCTGCCTGGTGTCCTGACATCATAGCATCCACCCAGCCTGATTCCTGGAGGCCGGCCCACTTGCCAGGCATGGGCCTGGGGGCGGGGGTTGCGGGGGGAGGTGAGGGGAGGCTGGCTGGGGTTGGGGGTGGTGTAGAGGAAGAGAATGTGGGAAAAGTGTTAAACACCATAAAACGGAGCATGTGGCTAAGACATGAAATGTGACCAGGTACCGCGACACTGTGCATGGAGTGAAGGTAGAAGGATATGTTTGTCTCCACTATCTGTGTTTTGTGCTCAGAGGCAAAGGTAAAAGAGCGCATCATTTCTTGTAAGACCTGGATTCCCCAAAGCCAACTGGATCTGAGCTGCTTCTGCTCCAAGCTCTGCTGAGGAACAGTGAGCATGGGGCCAACCTAACTGCCACTTCTTTTCCCCCTCCCTCCAGCAAGAGTGCCAGAGGAAGATGGGTGTTTTTCTTTTCTGTGGCTCCTTACAGAGTCAGGAGGTGAAAACAAGCTTGAGTGAGCTATGGTCACCAATCATAAGGAATCTACAGCTAAATTATCACCTGGCATGGTGGAAATAACATTATTGTAAAATGCTGTCATGATACTAAGGTCTTCCAGTTGGAAAGCCAGAAGTTAAGCCTGTGCTGGCATTCGTTTTCCAATAAATGAGCTGGCTCAAACGCTGACTTTCTCTCCTTGACTTGTAAAAGTGACCTAAAAATGTAAGCGAAAGTTCAATAAATGTTTTAAAGATCACTATTAAGTACAAATACTTTAACAATTTAACAAAACCAGAGGAAAGCAACCTTAAAGTTCCACCTTCCTTTCCCTTGCCCTCACCCCAAGTCAGGATGAAAGCTCAGGGTCTCAAACAATAACACAATTGTTTTGTACCTGGTATGCAGTAGACACTCAAATATATTTGGTGACAAGGAATTCTATGCGCCTTATGAGTTGGCACCTCCCAGCTTTTCAGAGAGTTTGATGACTTGGCATAGATTCAAGAATAGTGTATTAATCTTCTGGGGAATATTCACAGGCAAACAGCTACAGGGATATACATTTTCCTTTGTTAAAACTTGTATCTGCATTCAGATGCTGGCCTTGGCATTTCCTAAGTGCTGGCTGCTTTGAATGTTACTATGTCAGACCATCTGCACTGGAAAGCAAAATCCTGTTAAGAAATATGATCACAGGTTGTAAAGAGATTATCATGTTCCTGACCATTATACGTTTTATATTTTGAAAATCCCCATAAGAAAAGGTCATACTAAAATAGCAACTCTTTGTCAAAGTGAAGCTGAGCACTTTTAGACAATTTATGACTAGGGCAATATGAAAATTCATTTTTGTTTGCGTGCATTTTCAGTGGCTTTCCTGTACTGGCACACTCAAATCAAACTTTTTTTCTGACTGAAAAGAGACAAGAGGCTTCCAGATATTTAAGCAACTGGCCACTGACTAAGGGGCAAAGTGCCTTCCACTGTTCTCACTGCCTAACAATGAGAAAATCTCAGTGGGTAGCAAATGGTCCAGGGGAAGAGGCTCTTTGCCTGACTGAGGACAGAAGTTCAAGTCAAGGTCCTGGAGAGAAGGGGCAAAGTGAAAGGGTAAGGGAGATTGATTTGGTATAAGAAAACCAAACGTGAGAGTTTCATTTGGAATTACAGAAACTCTGTGAGGGGGAACAACAAAATTTTGTACTACCAAGTGACAGGTAGGGAGATTTGACGCAGTCCTAAGGTGAGAAATCTGCAGGTTGAGGATCACGATGTTAATATCTGGGTACTGCCCCCCCCCCCCCGCTGCCTCCCCTCGCCCCACCCTGGTTGGAAACTGGTCAGTTCAGGACAGCTGGATGCAAGATGGGAGCTAGTGCCCAAGGTCTGTGAGCCAGCGTGTGTGTCAGTTTCAGTACCAAGATCTCCTTGCACGGCCTCAAGAAAATCCAAGGGCTCAGAGACTTTGAGCTCGGTCCAATCACGTTCCACCCAGCAACTGCGACACTGCCACAGCCCAGGTGCCAAGCACTCTGCCCCAGTGCAGAAGGCAGGTAAGACGCAGGCAGCATATGTCAAGGGGTGTGTAGAAGTGTACGCAGCAGACACAGAATCCCTAGTATGTGATGAAAACCAGAAAAAAATTAACCTCAACCTGGATGAAGAAGGGAGTCAGAAACTTTAAAACAGTGCATTGCTCCTGTTCAGTCCCTAATAGGGCTATTTCCGGAAGTCACATCAAATCTAAAGAATCTGCCTGCCAATGCAGTTCCATTCTAGGGTGGGGAAGATTCCCTAGAGGAGGAAATGGCAACCCACTCCAGTATTCTTGCTTAGAGAATCCCATGGACAGAGGAGCCAGGCGGGCTACAGTCCACGAGGTGGGAAAGAGTCGGACACCACTGAGAGACTGATTCTAATCCGTAGGGCTTTCCCTCCCTTGCTCTTCTGCAGGCCACCCAAGTCCTTGAAAGGAGAGGTCCGCGCCTAGTTTACCTGGGGATCCTCTACAAATCTCCGAGGACTTGGGAGGGGCCTCTGAAAAAGTCAGATGAATGAGTGAGGGAATGAATGAAGGAAGGAATGAAGTAGTTGTCCTAAGCCAGACTAGGCAGGCATTTCGTGGAGAGAAAGGAAAGGAAGGAAAGGAAGGAGAAAAGAAAGAACGGAGGGAGGAAATTAGGGAGAGAGAGAGCGCGCGCCTGAAAGATTAATCGCGCAGGTAGGCGATGGCCCCCAAAAGGGAATTCCATCTAGGTCAGCGATTCTTAAACTTCAGCGTGCATCAGCATCACCTGGAGAGCTTGTTCAAACGCAGATCGCCCGGCCGGCTCCTAAACTGTCAGGTCCAGAAAATCTGCTTTTCTAGCCAGTGCCTGAGGTGGCTGATGCTACTGGACCACACCTTACGACGGTAACCCTGGACCGATCCCAGCGTCCCAGAGAAACGACCTCTGCAGCTAGAAATGTAAACTCCAAGGCAATCCCAGGCCCGGCATGTTAAAAACAGACCGCAGACAACAGCAGAACCGCTCAGCTCTGGCCAGCTCACTGCCGCGTTAAGGAGAGGGAGCGCATCTGGAAATCAAAATTTTCGTTAGAATGTTCCCAACGGTTAAGGATTCGCAAGTAGTCGTTTGTGTGTGTGCGTTTAAGCGAAACCCTAATAAAAATAGACTTGCAGACTGAGCCATAGTCTTTTCTGAGGGTGATCTTGCTCAGCGCAAGGGCTGGGCCAAGCCTACTTGGCCCAGAAGGGGCACATCTCCCTCCTGGGGAGGCGCCCGGGTCTTGTCCTCCCTCGGCTGCGTAAATCTCCTGTAAGCCGGGTCTTCCGAGTCACCGACACCAATAGGCTTCGTTAGAAGAGCAGCTTGAACTGGAAGCTGCCCTTGGACACGGGAGCCTCCTAGGGAGGGACCTGGCTGTCTCCGGCGAGGCGAATCGTGGGAGACCCGCTTCCCTGCGGCGCTGAAGGCAAAAGTGCGTGGTACCACCGCACGCACCGGGAGCCCGCGCCCAGCACGTGCCTGGGGACCCGGCTGGGACCTCCCGGGACTCCGGGCGGTGGGGGACAGCGCCGGGCCGCGCTCTCGCTCGCGAGGGGTGGGCGGATCGCCGGGCGGCCTCGAGTTGGCCTGGCTACTGCGGCGCCCGACCACCTCCCACCGGAGAAACCAAACTCGGACGGACCCCGGGCTCGCGGGAGGGTCTGCCCAACCCCGGCGTGGCCACAGAGCTAAACCTCCCAGCGGGTGTTCCGCGTCTACAGGTAGCTCCGCTTTCCCGGCGACTCGGTGAGGCGCCAGCTGGTGGGCTGGAAGGGCGCCCCCCGAGGCCTCAGGTGGAGCGCAGCTGAGCGAGGAGCGTGGGCACCAGCGCCCCCCGGCCCCCGAATCCAACCCAGGGAAGAGCCCTCGAGGTTCGGCCTTTCTCGGGAGCCTGAGGCTGTCCCGCCCGGCCGGATTCCCGAGGTGGCCGGGTGGGTCAGGGCTGGGACGACTGGAGGCGGCGGGTGGTCCTCAGGCCCCCAAGGCCCGGGAAGGCTCCCGCGCTATTCGTGCGCCTCGCTACACGCATCGTTCAGCTCTCGGGCTTAGGGAGAGTACAGCCCGTCCAGGGATCGATTCCCGTTAGGGCTTCAAAAGTTGGGTGAGATGAGGGGTACGTTGGGGGGAGTGGGAGAGCCTTTCCAAATGCAGTTGTGCGCAATCTCTCTTGCCTCTTCCCCTGGTCCACGTCCGCGGCCTGGGAATCTGGTAGCATCTGAGCTGATCTGAGCCACCGCCAACTCCCCGAGCGAGGGGAGGGTGTCTTTCCCCTGCCCTGGGGAGGTCAGAGTCGCCCTGGGCAGCGACAAAAGTCCGTCTAGGGACAACCGGCCAGGAAGGCAGTCTGTGCAAGGCCACTGGGCGGGGATGCTCAGAAAGGCCCAGCGATGAGAGTAGAGTGGCTCTCTGGCCCTGACAACAGGCCAGGCCCTCTCCGCAGCGCCCGTGCCTCGCACACGACTCTCCCCTCCCCATCCCCGCAGCCAAGGGCCCAGGACGAGGTGAAAGGAGCCCAGAGGCGGGCAAGACCGCCGGCCGCCAGGCATTCACCCCCTGAGCCGGCCCGCCGGGGTGACCGCCCCCTGCGCCCATGCCGCGTCGTGCTCGGCCCGCGCCTCCAGGGGGCGCTGCGGCTCTTCCCGCCGAGCTCCCGCCCGCGGCCGAGCTCTCCCAACCGCGGACCCTTTGTAGAGCGCGCTCGCGAAATCTCCTTTTTACAAGAGCAAACTCTCAAGTCTTCCCGCCTTCACAACCCTCAGTTCCTGAGCCCAGTGCCCGCGACCGTCCTCTAGCTTTCCTCACGACTCTGGGGATGGAGGGCACGCTCCCAGAGAAGAGCCGGGCTTGATGGAGACTCCAGACTCCTGGCGAAAAGCGGCAAACAGTGCGGAAAGTTCAAATGCAAAAGGTGCCCCCCCTTTCCCCAACACCACCAACCGGCCCTGGAGAGGCAGGGAAGGCGGGAGAGAGAGAGGGAGGCGAGTCCCCAGCCCTCGAAGGTCATGGCAACTGGGATCCCTAGGAAAACACGGGGGTGTCCATAATTTGTGACATCAAGGGCCAAAGTCTTTTTTTAGGTTGTCCGCAGCGCGCGGGTCAGAGGGAGAGGCTCAGCGTCGACCTCAGGGAAGTGTGTCTGACACCTGTTCGCGGGGTTTAACTGGCGGAGCCTCCTGGGTGGGCCGGTGGGGCGGGTAGGGAGAGGTTGAGGGGAAGGGGCCTACCGCTGGCGAACCCCCTCCTCCTCCCACTTGGCCGCCGCCGTCCTCTACCCCGCCTGCGCCCGGGGAGGCTCGGGTTTGGGCTGTAAGTGTTCGCGCTCCCCTTGTCAGTCTGTTAGCCGTTTCCCTGGAAGCGTCCTTGGTTGGTGTCGAAAGCCCAAGAGACGCGAGGACAGCGGACGATCAGTCGGCGGAAACGTCGGAGGGAACCGCAGCTCAACTCCGGGAGGGCGCAGGCGGAGCCGGGACTCAGCCCCCGGGCGCGCACCCCCGGAGCCCCTAGCCCACCGCCAACTCGCTGCGGGGCCCATCTTCCTTGCCAGGCGGGGTCACCCGGGGAGTCCCGCCGAGGAGGCTGCTCCTGGGTGGGCCTCCACTGACCGTGCGCTCTCGACACCGGCGGGGTCAGGGGGCTTTGCCCCGGGGCAGAGCGTGGAGCACCTGCAGGGCCCGGCCCTGGGTGGCCGCAGAGGTGGCCCGAGGCGACCCCCGCGAGCCGCCTCCAGTGGTTCTCCGCGTGGGGCGCTCACCTGCTCGCGGCGATGGCCGGGCCTGCAGGCTGCAGACGCGCCGCCCCGCCACGAGGCTTCTACCCAAGCTCGCCGACGCTTCCCTACCTTTCCAGCCTCCGCAGGGCTCTGGCCGGTGTGGCCCAGACCCCATTGTGGCACTTCGGAGGCTGGGGTGGGCGAGGTAAACACGGTTGTGGAAAAACCCGGGCAATTCTGTTTACCACCCGGGAAGAGCAGGCGGTGCGGCACACACACACACACACACACACACACACACACACACACACACGCTGGGAAGGTGTGAAGCCCACCCCTGGGGAGTTTACACATACACTCGCACCCACCGACCCACCCACACACACGGTGGGAAGGTGTGAAGCCCACCCCTGGGGATTGGCCTCCACTTGCAGAAAAGGAAATATGAAGCGTAGGAACACTCTGCAGGTCACCACCCCGGGAGTTGTGTCCTGGGGGTCTGAAAGAAGAGAAAGTTCCCTCAAAATCTTCCAAATTGAGAAAAGCTGCGGAAGGAATGAAGCGGTTAGAGAGAGGGGACCGCAGGCACCCCCGTAGCTGGGGCTCAGGACCGAGCGCTAAAATGAAAGCACCCCTATAGAATCCGCTAGGGAAAACGTGTTTTTCTTTTTTCTTTTTTTAAAGTCCTAAACTCAGGCATTCCGTACTTCCACGCTGTTGGTCAAGTCTACTTTGAAGTAGTTAAATGTTGAAGGATATTAAACACGCTTCATTCCAAGCTCACTTTTTAACCTTTGCAAATTTGAAATTGGAAAGGAACAAAAAAAAAGATCTGCTATCTCTGAATTATGTTTTACCAAAGGAACGAAAAAATCTACCCACTTCTGCATAAATAAAATGGAAGAGTTTATATCCAAATAAAATAATAACCCGTAGCTTCTGCCTGGCTCCCCAATCACTGTTTGACCTTTTGACAGTTTTTAGTCTTCTGCTTATACGTGTCCACTTCCCCGCACAATTGAGATTATTTGGGGCGGCACGTTCAAAACCATATTTTGGCGGAACACCTTTGAATTGTACAGCCTCTTGGCTTGCAGATCTGTGCCCCTCAAAGCGCCGACTTGCAGGGGGCTGATGTAAATCGCCTTTGGCGAACTCGTCTGGGACGAAGGGCGTTTTGCTCAGTGTTGCTCAGTAGACCTCATCTGGAAAGAGGCTGTTTAAAATGAGAGTATGTCATCCCCTTTCTGTCACTCGGTCACCCTACTTCCAGAGTAGCTGAAGTGCGTTCTGTAATTACACTCACACAAGACCAAATCTTTAGAAGAATCTGAAAAAATGTATCACTACACTTCAAATTCGATTAAGTTTCCTGGCAACTGAACAATGAACTCTTTTTTTTTTCTCCCCTGGGAATGAAGATGTACGATGTACATGTTTAAGACGCTGAAACTGTATTTTCCTAAATATTTTAAATGATTGGTCTTCACCCACTCCAGATGGATTCTTTATTGTTTGCCAATGGGTTGCAGATGCCCACCCCTTTAACCAAGTTGGTTAACTTCTTATGAAATGTACACTGGCTGATTAAAGCTTAAATTTCGGAAGAAATTTCTCCTGGGATATTCCACATATGTCTTCAAAGTAATTACGAAATTGGTCAATTGTCACCTCTATAAACAAACTTCGTTTTGAAAACAGCAGGCGAAAGCAGACTAGCCATACAGTCATAATTGACCATAAGTATGTGCAAAACTGTATTTAAAATTGGGGGAAGGGTGATATATGCTGGAGAATACAATCTAAAAGTGACTGATTTTACCTATGAAGAAGGTAGTTCTGTTAAACGTGTTAAGATGTGGAAATTAACGCTGCGAGCGCGCCAAGTAAAACTACAAAAATGCCCTTTGGGTTTCTCGGCGGGGGTCTTCGGAAGGCAGAAAGCCAATTGTGCAGCTTCTAACATTATAAGGAAAAGTGGCACCGAGAAGTAAGGGGCCGGGCGTTGTGTTTGTGTGTGAGTTTTGAACCGCGTCGCCGTGGCTCTGCCTCTGTAACAGGGAAACCTCGAGCAAACCTGTGCCTTTAAGACTCAGTTGCTATCCAAACACAAGTAAACAGAGTGGACCATTAGCGGGCGCCGGGCGCGGAGGCGGAGCCTGGGCGCAGGGGGCCCCGCGCGGCGGCGGGGCGCCCGCCCGAAGGGGAGGCGGGGCCGCTACTAAAGCCCGAGTCTGCCGGCCGCGAGCAGCCTGGGGAGGGACGCGGGCGGGGACAGAGCTCGGCGCGCTCGCTGCTGCTGGAGGGTGATGGCCCTGCGAGGCTGCAGGCTCCGACCTTACCCGGAGTCGGCGGCGAGAGGTTCGCGGGGGCGCGAGGTTCCGGGCGAGCGCTGAGCGCGGGCTTCTACCATCCCCGGGTCCTTGCACATTCTACGTCCACAGACGAAGGCGAGGATCCGCTCTCGGTTTGGCTGCCCGTCGTCCTCCAGATCATGTCCGCGGCTCCCGGGACTCCGCGCGGAAAAAGCAGTTTGGCCGGAGTGGAACCAATGACCTTTCCAAGCTGTGCGCCTCACTGCCTGGACCAGGTCTGAGTGGCGCTGCCCAGGCGGACCTTTTTGCTGGAGGTAAGTGTCCACTCTGGGAAGGGGGCTGCAGCTGCCCTAAGGAAAGCAGGCTGCAGCCGGGGCGCTCCGAGTCTCGGTCCGGCGTGCCACGAGTTTCGGACTCGGGTAAAAGAAATCACATGGATGCATTCCCTGGGCATTGTATTTTTCACTTTATGGGATCCCAGGCTCGCCACTCCCAGATAACACACAACAACACGCGCTTTCGCGTACTGTTTTTAGTTTTGTTTTGCAACACTGAATCGAAGCCCTCAGCAAAGCTTCTAAAAGCTGATCTACATACGTTGAGATAAAACCCCACCACCCCCCCCCTTCTTTTTTCCCCCGTACCCTGACATAGTATTCCAGAGCAGGGGGCAGCCGTTCCGGGGCAGCCGCGGCAGCGCGGACGGGCCGGGACACACGGTGCGTGCCGAGCCAGAGCGTTTCAGGAGGAAAGCAATAGTTCAGTCCTAGATAATTCTCCAAACTTGTGCCGGCCTTTTTATTTTCTTCCCACCCTCCAGTTCTGGCGGAGGCGGGCAGAAGGCAAATCCCCCTGGGGTTTAAACGCTGGGATTCTCGAGAAAGAGCAACGGAGAACGGTGTTGCGTCTGTAGAGTGAGGAGGGAGAAAAAGGTGTTTGTGGAGGGTGCGCTGGCTCTGTCTGCCTACCTGTTAGCAGGGGAACAAAAGAGGACTGGAGTTTCCCGGAGCGAAACGGTGCAGACAGCTACTTTCTCTGCTAAACAAACTGCAGTCCCGAGCAGAACAAGAAAATTACTCATGCAGGGGGAGCGAGGGAGCAGAGAGAAACAGAACCCAGATTATGCGGAAGGCATCTTAATTTAATTAACTCCTTGGGAAGGCAGAGGCGCAGCGAAGGGGCAGGAACTTCGCGGTGGTTTCGCTCTGTTCACCTGACCCAGTCTGCCCATTTTTATTTTCTGTTTTTAAAAAAATGATCTCTTAAATCTACTCGGAGTATAGCTCTCTGATTAAAGTAAAATTTATTGGGGCTTGGGCTGAAATTCAGCGAGCCTATGGAGCCATCAGTCATTTCTCTCAGACACCAACCCACAGGTTTTAGCAGATGACCCCTGACTGTATATTATTTTTAGATAATTCAGTGTAATAACATATTACCAAAGAGCGAGACTCCTTATCAAATTACCATTTTTTTATCCCTCCAATGTTTTGAATGCTTCACTGCACTGAAATTAGTATGTACACCTCTCACTTGCTGACAGCCAGTGAGCTAAATTTTACAAAACTTCTGTACATGTCTGGAAATTATTGTGAAGAAGACTGATGAAAGAAAACAAGCCTCAATTCCACCATAATATTTATGTCTTTTCGTTGGTTTAAGTTTCTTTCCTTGCAAAATTAAAAGTAACCAATGTTCTGGAACGGGGTGGTGAAGAAGTGACAGCAGATGATGGCTGATATTGCCTGAAACTGTGTGAGAACTCCACGCTCAGCTCTAGACAAAAACGAAAGTACTTTAGATCTCTCCATTGACTTAAAGTATCTTTTGATATTTATTTCCAACTACTCAGCAGGAGAGTGAAAACCTAAACTCCCTAATTACTTATGGGGAAAAAGTTTAATGAATATTTAGAGTGATTCTGTTTGTGAAGGACTTGCTTGTCGTCTTCTATGAGGAGACTATTTGTCCTGCAAATCAAAACGAACACATACTATGAAACAGCACTTTTGTGCCACCATGAAGCTGAATTATAACAGAGGCAATAATTTGGGTTATAAACCATTCAGTGAAAAGGGAAGGAAGATGGCTCTCAAGTTTCTGCTGGCAGATTTAACATGTAACCTTTAACGGCAGAGTTCACTTTATGCATTTGGAATCAAACTCTCAAGTCATGCTATTCCTTCAGTCGACAACACACCCCACACACATGCACATACTTACAAGGAGAATGTGGTGGGAATTGCACTTTGCCTCCTGTATTTATTTCTAAGAAATCCAGTCTGGGAATACACCCAAATAATAATTCGGGTTTCCTCTCTATGTGGGGAGGCCACTCTTTAATACTAGGGGAAAAATAATGTTTTGAATCTCTAGAAAATCCTCCTTATGCAAAAGGAAGGAAATAGTGTAACTTATTATTTTTAATGGAAGAGGAAAACAATCAGATAGATTACCAGAGATGTTAGTAGAATCTATTTTCCCCCCCTACCTCTTTAGGAGAGGGCTTGAGGGTTGCCACTGAAGAAAAATGAATTGTGATTTGTGGTGGGAAAGTTTATTACTAATGGAGGTTTACAGTTTCGGTTGAACGGTCTGACTGAGACCCCCTGACTGTTACACACCTCTCATTAACTCCCGACCTCAACTCCCAGACCGCATACCACCAGGCAGAAGCGGTTCGTTAATAAATCGCTGTCTCCCAGCCGTTTCAAACAGAGGAGGAGGGAGGGAAGGTGTGGGCCCTCGCGGAGGCCGCCAGATTCTGCCTGGCCGGAGCGCTGTGTCATTAGCGCAGCTCCCTAAGCCTGTCCTCAGAAAGAGCCACAGGCAACTCTTCTCCAACACTAGAGAAGGACATTTAGGCGCAGAAAGGGCTAGTGCGCAATGAAGTCTGGACAGACTCTCTCATCTTCTTGCTGGGTTCAAGAGCCCGGCGTAAAGGTTGATGGCTCAGACAGGCCAGCCTGCCCCTCTCCAGGGAGAGCGCTTAGCTTGTGACGCCCGCACCTGGGGAGCCGCCTTCAGAGGCTGGGCCGGGCCATCGATTTGGCACCCCTGGCTGCTAAAAAGGGGGCTGGCGGTGGGAGAAGGCGGGCCTGCTCTGAAAGCAGGTGAGGTGCCGCGGGAAACGGGGTCTGAAACCAGACCTCGGCGTTGCTATTGGGGGTGCAGGGAGAGGCAAGCGCGTGCGCCCTGCTTAGGCCCAAGGCCGACGACCCGGGCGGGCTTCCCAGGGGCAGGAGCAGCGTCGCCCTCTACTGCAGGCCGATAAACAAGCTTCCGTCGGGCTGGCAGAGCCGCTCCTCTGCTGCGCCTTGCCTTTTCCTCCCCAGGGAACCCTGTCTCCTCTCTTCCTGGGGCCTCCCGGGTGTAGGAGCCGCTCCGGGGGCCAGGTCGAGAGGCGCTCGGGCACTCCCGAGAGCTGGGCGCTGGGTCTGGGAGAACGGGCTCCGGCCTCAGCCACCCCCTCACCCCCCCTGTCTGAGCCCGAACCATCTGGAAGGGATCTTGGTAGGGGGTGGGAGGGGACGGCCCCTGGGAAGGAGGAGGGGGCGATTCCAGGCCTCACTGGCCCTGAGGTGTCACTTTTCTTTCCTGTGGCCCGTCACCGCTGATAAATGGGACCAAGGCAGAGGAAGGAAAAAGAAAACCTCTGAGGTCAGCACCGGGCAAGGCGGCCCCTCCGAGGGCCAGGCAGCCCAGGAGCGCAAAGCGTCCCCGGGCTGCGCACCCACACCTCCGGCGCGGTCAGGGGCAAGCACAGGAACGGCGGCAGGGCCGCGGGCTCGGGCGCGGCGGTAGGAGCCGTTCCGGCTGAGTCGGGCCCTCAAGCCCGGGTCCGACCCACGACGTACCGTCTCCGGGGACCTCGGAGGCTCGGTGCGAGCAAGGCTCGGCCGGGCCCGGCGGGCGCTGGAATAGCCGGGTGTCAGGGATGACCAAGCTTCGCCCCACCCGGTAGGGGGTGGGTGGACAGGACTGGGTGCCGCCTGGAGCCCCCCGCCCGCCTTTCTTCCTCCCCGGCCCGGGTCTCCTGCTCCTGGAATCCGTGCGTGCCCGGAATCCGATCTTCCCACGGGCCACCCGCTCTCGCCGGGGACCACGCCTGACACCCTGGCCCTCGGGACTGAGCTTGAGCTTGGTGTCAACTCGCCCGGCAGGCGCGCCAAGGTCCCCTCACCGCTCCTTCTCGAGGGGCCTTGGAGTGGGTGGGGAGGGGGTTTTAGAAGGAAGGTGTGGAAGCCCACGCCGCACCAGGGGACAGACCAAGCGGGCTCGGATAATAGTCACGACTTTCCCCTCTCTCCCCCAGCCGTCTTTAGGATTCTCTCCGCGTGCCGTTGTCCTGGGTTTTCGCCGGAGCCCCACGCCCACCCGCCTCTGAGTCCTGGAAAAAAAGGGTGGCTACCCCCGCCCTGCAACATCCCGGAAAATGGGGAGCAAGGCCCTGCCGGCGCCCATTCCGCTCCACCCGTCGCTGCAGCTCACCAATTACTCCTTCCTGCAGGCCGTGAACACCTTCCCCGCCGCGGTGGACCACCTGCAGGGCCTGTACGGTCTCAGCGCCGTGCAGACCATGCACATGAACCACTGGACTCTGGGGTACCCCAACGTGCATGAGATCACCCGCTCCACCATCACCGAGATGGCGGCGGCGCAGGGCCTCGTGGATGCCCGCTTCCCCTTCCCGGCTCTGCCCTTTACCACCCACCTCTTCCACCCCAAGCAGGGAGCCATTGCCCACGTCCTCCCGGCCCTGCACAAGGACCGGCCCCGTTTTGACTTTGCCAACTTGGCCGTGGCCGCCACGCAAGAGGATCCCCCTAAGATAGCAGACCTGAGCAAGCTGAGCCCGGGCTTGGGGAGCGCCATCTCCAGCCTCAGTAAATTGACTCCGGACAGAAAGCCCTCCCGAGGGAGGTTGCCCTCCAAAACGAAAAAAGAGTTTATCTGCAAGTTTTGCGGCAGACACTTTACCAAATCCTACAACCTGCTCATCCACGAGAGGACCCACACCGACGAGAGGCCCTACACGTGTGACATCTGCCACAAGGCTTTCCGGAGGCAAGATCACTTGCGGGATCACAGGTAAGGTGGGGAAGGAGGGTGGCCTGGGGAGGGGAGGACAATTTATCCTGAATATGGAGTTTTGATAGATGCTCCAAGTGTCACTAAAATCCTCTAGACTATATTCCCCCCCAACGCCCTTCCCATCCAGCTGTAACTAACCCCCAACCTTTACCTTTTTCCTCAGCAGGGACCCCTGCTGCAGCGTCATTTGGGATGCGGGAGGGTCTTCCCATCCTTAGGTAGTTAAAATACCCTGGGTTGCTCTTGGTTCCGGGAGCGGTTTTCCAGTTTCCACCAGGTGGGCCTTAGGAGGTGGGGCAGGCAGAGCCCAGGAGCCTGGAAGACCTTCCTCTGGTGGTCCAGGTACCGCCTCCCTTAGGCGCGGTTCTGTTAATCTACCGTGGCCACCACTCGGTTCCCTCCCTTCCCCGACTGGCCCCCAGGTGCACCCCAGAGCCTGCCATAGCAACCTTTCTTTTAAACTTATTTGTGGGGTTCTTGAGATTACAGAATTTAGGAACTGCTCCCCACACCCCCTCCACACTCTCAACTCTGCATTAATCAAAGGCAGTTGAAGAAATACGATAATGTCAGTGTTTTCCTCCGGGAAAAACTTCCCAGGAGTGGGGATGACCGTATCTGTTCCCTGGACTCTACTTGCTGTTGTTACCCAAGGTAGGACTTCTGTAGGGAACCTCCACGGCTTCCAAGGGGTTCGCTGAAATCGGTCCCCCTAAACTCAGCCTTGTCTTACATCCTGATTTGACCAGTTTAAATCTCAGAGAGAGCCGCAGAGGGCAGAAAGAGCTCATTCGGCAGGGCTTCAAGCTCCAGAATACACCAGAGAGGGCGATCAAGTGTAGATAAAGCCTGTGTCGGGTGAATGTTCTGAAGAGTCTGTTAGTTGAGGTTAACCATAAACAGAATTACACAGGTGGAGGGGGGGGATGTAAAAACAAAAATAATGGAAATCCTTTTTCTTTTTTTCCCCCTCACCACTTCATTTAAAGCAATTGTCAAAAGAAACTTCTCACCGTGGTGGTAAAGCCATTTCAATGAGACCTTATGTTGATTTTCAGGTATATCCATTCCAAAGAGAAGCCCTTCAAATGTCAGGAGTGCGGGAAAGGATTTTGTCAGTCTAGAACTCTAGCTGTTCACAAAACTTTACATATGCAGGTAAGTTTGTTTTCTTGTTTTAAAGCAGTGACTGGTTCTGTTTTATCATTTTTGCTCTACAAAAGGTGTTCAATGGCAGGCTCTTTCTCATAAAAGGCTCTATTTAGATCAGCTATCTAGGTGGAGAAAGCAACACTCGATTTTTTTATACATGAAATTAATTTTATTTAACATAAAACATGTATGTGTTTTTCTTATAGAAGAGGCCACTCTCATTGTTCTGAATCCTAATTTTAGAATTTTATTTCTTTTTTTTACCTGATGTGCCCTGCATTTAAAGCTTTCGTGTTTGGGAGGAAATAAAGGTAATTTCGATAATGGAGGCATGGTGAAATCCCATACACTCTCTCTCCCAGGAGCCTCATAATTTGTAGTTTTCAGAACATTGAGGAATAGTTTAATTTTGCACCAAAGAGGGGCCTTATTACCCGGGAGAATGTTGTTCCTTAAGAAAGGATTAGAGTTTTTCCCTCCCCCCTTTCCTGCCTATGACATGGTGATGAAATGTAAAGAGCTGGAAATCCCAAAGCCCACAGCAGTGGCCATCGGCGGTTATCGGTGTGATCGGGCCCCCGTGTGTGCCCCTGCCTGTGTTTTCGCGATTGGAGGATTAGGAGCACAGCTTTGTTGCTGCAAGCCCCCTCTTTGTTGTCGTGCGCGTGTTCTGTTAACGCTTGTGATGCCGATAAGACAGAGACTGTTGAGAAGGGTGCCGTGGTGGTGTGAAGGATTAATCCTTTGCTTGCTTCACATCTGAACAGGAATCTCCACACAAATGTCCCACATGTGGAAGAACCTTTAATCAGAGAAGTAATCTGAAAACTCACCTTCTCACCCATACAGACATCAAGCCCTACAGCTGCGAGCAGTGCGGCAAAGTGTTCAGGCGAAACTGTGATCTGCGGCGGCACAGCCTGACTCACACCCCGCGGCAGGACTTCTAGAGAAGCCCCGGATCTGTCCGGGCCGCCGCCCCCACCCCCCCCCAGACACCTCTCCAGCCTCCCACCTGTGGGGGTGGCGCGCCCCCAACCCTCACTGACCCCAGCTCTTCCCGGCTGCAGCCGCACCTGCAGCTTCAGGGGGTTAACTCTCCTTCCCCAGAACTGTAGAAAGCCACACAAGTACATCCTTTCACAAAGCGCATATGCTAGTTTCTTGTAGATATTCACAGCTCATTTTAGAGCTCTGTACATAATGTCGAGGGTCTCTGTTTTGTTGTTTTGTTTCGTCTGTTTTTGTACCTTGTTGGATGCACCTAGGTATGGGAAATGGAAGCCAAATTTATCTTTAAAGACTGTATTTTCAAAATAAAATGTTTTCTTGTTCGTTTCAACACTCCTGCAAAAGCGTCTTGCTATTTGACTTCTGTTTTTCCTCTGGATTCTGGAGGCGTGGTGTGTCTCTGAAATATTCCCTATTGAAGGGCATTCTTTATCCCGAGGCTTTTTTAAAATAAGACTTCTCACAATCCTCTTACTGAACCTTCATCTCTTCCCTTTTAGTGCTGTGGCATTTTGGAACTGGTCAACTGCGCTGTCATTCTGGCTTTCAAAGATATTAAAATTGATACCTCTGAGGTTTTTCTCCCTTTTTGTTTATTCTGATTCCTTGTGTATTATTCCTTTAGGTAAAGGCAGTATAATTATCACTGTTAATAACCAGCAACTCCAATAACTGAACCCACTTGAAAGCACAAGTTAGGAAGAAGCATAAGGAAAAAGCAGGGAGTTTCTCACCACTTCACTTTTAGAAGTCCTTGACCTATTGTCATAGTTTATGATGGGCAACTTCTCTTACCATTAGACTTTGAACACTATGATTTGGCTCTTAGACAGACTTTACCCCGCCTTTGGGGGAGAAGTCTCAGATCCTCCTGCTGAAGAATGCAAGCAGGTACATGCTTCAGAAGATGGGGGACAAGACGAGAAAAGGGAAAACCACTTAGCTATATTTGCACAAAATATTTTTTCCCCAAGAGTGGAGATCTTTTCTTCTAGAAGTTTCAGATTTATCTGCAAAGCAAACTTGAGTGAGGTCTCTAGCACAGTTTCCATCACTGGCTGGCCTTTTGTCCCTGGGAAGATGCCAGAAGTACAGGTTATTCTGTGTATAGAGCTCATGGCAAATATGTCATCACCTTCTGAGGCACTTCAGTTCTTTCCCAAATGGTTCCTGGGGAATATGACACTAGGAATATGACAACCTCTTGTAGGACCTGAGTGGAAGGCTTTGGATACAGACAAATGGTAGTACTACTGCAGGGACCGAAAGGGAAATAATTGCACCTAAAGAGGGAATATCAGAGGAACCTGGGCCCAGGGCCCTATCCTCACAAACTTTAATACTGAGCAACAGGGTGAATTAAGTATCCTCAGTTATTTTTTTTTTTTTCCATTTGTGTATTTGTGTGGGCATGGCATGTTTCATCTTCAGGGAGATACCAGGCAAAATGCCCTAAGTTTCAACCTTAGAATCCTCCAGAAGATTAGGTAGGGATTTGAGGACCAGACTCAAAATTTCTCACCTATGCCTGTTCAAAACAACTTACAAGGAGGTCTCAAAAAGTGTTCCTGACTCACGGCTCACTTTGCAGGGGTGCGGGTCAGAAGTCCCTTCTGCTTCTTTTGGGAGATGAGTTCTCTCCCACAAAATGTCCACTTGCTAAGCCTGTGTGTCTAATGCTCACAGGAGCGTTTCCCAACAAGGGATGGGCCCAAAGGGCGTTTCGGAGGAGAGGGGGCGGGGATGGAGTGAGGGGGTGCATGTGTGTGTGGTATTCAGAGGAATGAAACTGTTTGTCTTCTTCTGTTTGTACAGAATTAACTCGATGACCTCCCTACCCCTACTCCCTCAAGATTCTGCCCACCTTGGCACAGAAGATTTGAATACTTTAGGGCAGGGTTACACATTGACTGTCCCTGGAGCTCCCCTAATCCAGCAGGCTTTTTCCATGTAGTCAGCCTTGCTGCCCCACCCACCCCAACTGACTCCCAGCAGCACCGTTCCACAGCACAGGGTTCAGTCGAATTATCAGAGGTTGACCCTTGCTCGATACCAAGCTCAGGCATATCCTTGAAGTCCCTGTCACAGGGAAATACAGACAGGTGCAACCAGAATACTCTTCCTCTCCATTTACTTTTATTAAAAAAAAAAAAAAAAGGTAAGGGGGGGTGGGAATCAATAGTGAATGAGGAAAAGATAGAGAAGGTGGAGAAAGCAATTTCCATTTCCATATAAACACTATCAAAATTCAGGTAAATTCATTTAAAATTTATTTATACAGTCATTTCCGTAACAAGTTTATTATGTGCTTTTCACGTGCCAAGCCCTGTGCTATTAATAGTTTCCAATGACTTTTATGATCAGTTTCTGCCCTTATATATCTAGCGGCTCATTTTTGGAATTCCTTTTTTTTTTTTAAGATTTATTTATTTATGTCTGTGCTGGGTCTTTATTGCTGTGAAGGCTTTTCTGTGGCTGGGGAGAGTAGGGGATATCCTTCCATTGTGGTGCTCAGGCCTCTCATTGCAGTGGCTTCTCTTGTGGCTGAGCTCTCGGGCGGAGGGGCTTCAGTAGTTGTGGCGTGTGGGTCCGAGAGCACAGACTCAATAGTCATGGTATATGGGCTTAGATGTTCCATGGCACGTGGGATCTTCCCAGATCAGGGATTGAACCTGTGCCCCCTGCATTGATAGGTGGATTCTCAACCACTGGACTACCAAAGTCCTCATTTTTGGAATCTAGACTACTTAGATAATTTTTGAAAATCTATAATAGGGCTTAAATGAATGGTTCTCCTCAATCTGGACTCACATCCAGCATCCATCTAGATTCAGAAGGGAACAGCCTCAGTGTAGACTCTTCTCACATTCTGGATGATGACAGGTGAACTTTTGAACAGGGGGCCTCCCTGCATTTGGAGTTTTGTTTTCTTCTCCTTTGCACGTCCCGGTATGCAGGAAATGATTCTTAGATGAGACAAACTTACGAGACCTCATAGGGGAAGTAATACCGTGTAGCTTATGAAATTGATTTGCTGTGTATTTTTGTTTTGGAAAAGAGTCATTATTTGAGTTTTAGATTAGCCCGTGTTTTCCTTACACTCTCTGCCATAGTCATCTCATGAATCAATGCTCCTGGCCTCCGGCCTCCGGCCAGGAGTGGGAAATGTCACGAGTCATAACCACAGTGCTGAAGAGCTTTACAAACAACAGTGAAGTATTCAGTTGTGACTTTAGTCACACTTTGTAATCTGTGTGTGGGATTTAAAATATAACTTCTCTAAGACAACTAAATATTTAAGAAGTAAACAAATCTAAATTCTCACATTATAAATGGGCCCAACCACTACTGGTGATGAAACCAGAGGCAGTTACTGGAGGTTTCTTCTACTGTTCATTTGTCAGATATTAGCATTGACATCTGAACTTCTTCACTTAAATCATTTCAGTTGAGGACTCTTGCCTCAGTTTTGATTCTGGAGGTACAGCCAACCCCTGGAAGGCCCTTGGGATACATTAGGTTTTGAATATTGTCAATGGGAGAGACTAGATGCATTTAGATTAAACAGAGTAGAATCTACAGCAAATTTTAACATGAGAAGGGAATTACCACAGCATAACAGGTTGACTTTCTTATGACCAAAGTAATTTTATTATACTAAAGAGAAAAAGTTCCTACAACCATGTAACACTACAAACAGAAATAGCTTTTGTATTTCAGAGGAGTAGTTCTGTTCACCTTAATAGCATGTTATGTTGAGATTGTATTTCCCAATTTTTCCTTCTGAAATGTAACTTGCCACTGATAACCACTTCTGCTGACAGCAATGAGCAATGAAGGGAGTGGAGATTCAGAATGATTCAGCTTTGATGACCTGAGAGATTTCAAGTTCATTCCTGTTTCTTTTCTTTATTGCTTGTTTTTTTTCCCCCAACACAAATTACATTACTATCTAAGCTATGTAACATTTTTTTTTCTTTGAAAAAACTGATTGTGAAAAACTGTAAGTAACACAAGTAGCCTAAAGAGGAAAATTTTTAGGAAATTATAATCCTGTATCTGTTAGGATGCTTTCTATTGCAAGAAACAGAAAACCCGACTTACAGGGGCTTAAACTATAGGGGATTTATTTTCTGACCTAACAAGAAGTCTCAAGGTAGGGCCCAAGGATGTGTGATTAATTGGAGTGACAAGAGTTTCCAGAGCCCAGTTCTTTCTGCTTCCCTCTTCTTCCATCCTCAGTGTATAGCTATCTCCCTTCGTGGCCACAGATGTGGCTGCAGTAGCTCCAGCTACCAGCTCCAGTGTTTCCTTCTCAAACACATTCCATGGGCAGAAAAGGGGTTACCTTTTCCTTGTTATCACTTTGTAAGAACTAAGAATCCCTCCCATAAATCCAACCTCTATACCTGCCCTTATGTTTTATTGGCTGAAATTAGGTCACTTGTTGCTTCCTCAGACAACCAAGGAGAATAGAATTACACCCTGATTGACTTAGACCAAATAAAATTCACATTCTGCCCACCAAATGGAACCAGCCTTCCCTAAAGATCTTGACTGCCTGTAAAACCTAAGTTCTGTCAGTAAGGAAGAAAGGAGAACTGACTATTGTGAATATTAAGCAGATGCTAAAAATGAAGTGTCCATTAATAACCTTCTGTTAGGAGATGCTTATGTAATAAAAGCAGGATATTCAATGACATATACAGATATCCTCTGCTTTTACTTTACTCCATTTTATTTTTCCAAAAACATCAGTACCTGTTTTCACTAACTAGAAACAAATACCAAGAGGATTTTCGCTTTTACATAAAAAGGTGAAAATAGCATTCAGCATTTGTTTTGCAGGAGCTGTTATAGAGACAGTGCCACACGCTGAGCAGGGAGTGTGACACCAACAAGGTTCTTCTCTGAGAACTAGGCTCGGCATCTCACCATC